ATGAACAGAATAGATAGATAGATAGATAGATAGATAGATAGAAATGACAAAATATAGATTGAAATGATAAAATAAATAGATAGATAGAGAGATAGAGATAGAGAGATAGAAAGAAATGATAGATAGATAGATAGATAGATAGATAGATAGATAGATAGATAGATAGATAGATAGAAGAAGGCCGGAGTGTAGACCGACCGAAACGTTGTAATAAATATGGCGACAAAGATGAGAACAATAGTCCGAATAATGTAAATAAGACATCTCTTCTTCGCGAAATAAAAGGACATGAATAAAGAAAAACATGAGATATAATCTTCTCTAATGGAAAAGAAAGAAAGACACAAGATATAGCCGAACAAAAGAAAAGAAAGTAAGACTAGATATAGTCACTAAAAAGAAAAAGAAAGAAAAATAAGAAGTGATAGAAAAGAAGAATGATTCAAGATAAATCTCTTCTGCGAAGAAAAAGAAGAGATGAAGAGATATATGAGGATGAAAAAGGCAAGACATTTTGTGAATTGGATTAACCAATGAAAATCATTTACGCTAAGTAAGATGTTCTAGAAAATGGATTCGAATTTAACCGGAAACTCGATGGAGGATTATGGATACAATGTAACGGTTCACAGATAGTTGACGTTTCCAAAGAAGAGGCAACATATTATAAGAATTATACATAGTATGTAATACAAATAGTATGTATGTAAATTATATATATATATATATATATATATATATATATATATATATATATATATATATATATATATATCGATATATATGTATTGTAAATTGTATATATATATAAATATATATATATATATAAATATATATATATATAAATATATATATATATAATATATATATATAATATATATATATATATATATATATATATATATATAAATATATATATATATAAATATATATATATATATATATATATATATATATATATATAAATATATAAATTGTATATAAATTGTATATATATAAATATATATATATATATATATATATATATATATATATATATATATATATATATATATATATCCAAGTATATGATTGCTGTATACGGAATAGGTAACAGCGTTTCCTCCTGCCGAGGAACGTTAATTAATTTGAAATTTTATATCCATTAATTTTACATTCAACATCATCACTTGATAAGACACCGGAGGTGTTGAAACAAAATAGCTATTTTTGTAGTGATTTTATAACATATTTATGTTATAATTTTTAAATAAATAATTATATATATTATATATATATATATATATATATATATATATATATATATATATATATATATATATATATATATATATATATATATATATATATAATGCGCTATTTTTGCCTTTTTCACTAATAAATGCAGCACTCACAGACCATAAACTCCTATTGATATGATACGAACATTCATTCCCCTCCCCACCAATAAGTCACCTTTTAAACTAATATGAAATCTTCAACTGCAGTAAGGTAATCAATTCGTACTTTCATTTGTACGTATCGTTCGTATACCATAAAGCAAATTTAACATGTTACATCTTTGTAATTTGGGACAAAAATATATTGTTCTTGCGTAGAAATCTGAAAAGTTCAATCAGAGTAAGCAGAATTCGATTAGCGAGACTGATCGTGATGATTGAATTTCGCTGGTTAAAGGTCAACAATAATTCAGAGCAGAAGGCAAGGCTGTTTTGGGTATATTTGAATTCGATGTAGCAGGATGTCAATTTGTCAGTGAATGTAATCATCTTCTCGTGATTAATGATTTCACTCTATCTTCCACACTACAGTCGAGCCTCAATTTAACAAACTATTAGGAGGGGGGCGTCCGTTATTGTTTTCTTTCTTTCCGTATTGATAGTTCTTCACGTCTTTTGCACTAAATATTGTTACCTTATTTAGACTTGTATCCAATTGTCATTATTCTGAACGATTTTGTCTTTCTTTTTTTCTTTCTCTCTTTCTTTCTTTCTTTCTTTCTTTCTTTCTTTCTTTGTTTTTTGCTTTCTTTCTTTATATTTCTTTTTTCTTTCTTTTTACTTTCTTCCTGCCTTCTTTCTTTCTTTCTTTCTTTCTTTCTTTCTCTCTTTCTACCTGCCTTGCTCCCCTTTTCTTTTTTTCTTTATTTTTTCTTTCTTTATTTACTCATATCTTTTCTGTCCATTTCTTTCTTTCTTTCTTTCATTCTTTTTTCTTTCTTTTTTCTTTCTTCTTTCTTTCTTTCTTTCTACCTGCCTTCCTTACTTCTTTCATTCTGTGTTTACTCATTTCTTTCTTTCTTTCTTTCTTTCTTTCTTTCTTTCTTTCTTTTTCTTTCTTCTTTTTTCTTTCTACCTGTCTTGTTCCTTTTCTTTTTTTTTTTTTTTTTTTTCTTTCTTTATTTTTTCTTTCTTTCTTTCTTTTTTTCTTTCTTTTCATTCCTTGCTTTTCTTTTCTTTTTTTTCTTTATTTTTCTTTCTTTCTACCTGCCTTCCTCTTTTCTTTCCATTTCTTTCATTTCTTTTCTTTCATTCTTTTTTCTTTTCTTTTTTCTTTCTTTCTTTCTTTCTTTCTTTCTTTCTTTCTTTCTTTTTTTCTTTTCTTTCTTTCTTTCTTTTCTTTCTTCCTTCTTTCTTTCTTCTTTTTCTTGTTTCCCTTTTCTTTTTTTTCTTTCTTTCTTTCTTTCTTTCTTTCTTTTCTTTCTTTCTACCTTTCTTTTCCCTTTTCTTTCTTTCTTTCTTTCTTTCTTTCTTTTCTTTTCTTTCTTTCTTTTTTTCTTTCTTTCTTTCTTTCTTTCTTTCTGTCTTGTTCACTTTTCTTTCTTTCTTTCTTTCTTCCTTTCTTTCTTTCTTTCTTTCTACCTGTCTTGTTCCCTTTTCTTTCTTTCTTTCTTTCTTTCTTTCTTTCTTTCTTTCTTTCTTTCTTTCTTTTCTACCTGTCTTGTTCCCTTTTCTTTCTTTCTTTCTTTCTTTCTTTCTTTCTTGTTCACTTTTCTTTCTTTCTTTCACTTTTCTTTCTTTCTTTCTTTCTTTCTTTCTTTCTTTCTTTCTTTCTTTCTTTCTTTCTACCTGCCTTGCTTCCCTTTTCTTTTTTCTTTCTTTCTTTCTTTTCACTTTTCATTCATTTATTCTTTCTCTCTTTGTCTGCAAAATCCATTCTATCTGTTGCTTTTTCTTCTATAATTGCACCATTCATATCAATTTATTACTGACTAAATGTTTATCATCTTTTTAAACCAGAAGATTTTCCAAGCCGAGACGTGTCAGGTTTGCCTTTCTTGGTCAATAATCTTCTGAGATTATGCAATGACAGAAAATAATTAGACCCCAAATATATCTTGTGGATTTCAGACATTATTTGAAAGACATCTTTCAATTGAAGACATTTGAGAAGGGATTGATTTTAAAATCAATTTTTAAACCGCTTACCTTTGTATACACAAAATCTGACAAGTGACATTTCATTATGAGAAATAAATATGAAATATATTATCAAAAGTATTTTATATATATTTTAAATTTTTTAGAATTTCTTTTGATGCAAGTTGGTTCGGAATTATATTTTATATTTTCATTTAAATATCCGCATAGGGTACTATTTTAATTCGTATTTTAAATATTCCGATAGAAACACTTTCTCACCCCCCCCCCCAAAAAAAAAAACGTTTATAATCTTAGCTTATTATAAAAAGAACGGTATTAGTGCTTTTAAGATACCGTAAATGGTGACTACAGCCATTAGCCATATTTTAAATATAGAAACGTATGATATTTTTATTCATTTCCCCACAAGCAAGGCAATAATGTCACTAAGGCACAAGGATATTATTGAGTGTGAGAGAACACAAGAAAAAAGATAATTAAGGAGAGGAAACAATAAAAAACAGGAATTAAGAAAACAGAAAATAAGGATTGAAATTTTCAACGATGAAATTTGATTGAAAAGAAAACATTCGTAAGAGAGTTCCACAAGCGAGAAGTGCGAGGGAAGAAACATTAAGCATAGAACTTACGGTTACATCTAGCCATTTCAATTGTAAAAGGATGAGACCTTCCCGCCAATCTAGTACTGAGCTTAAATTCATAAAGTCTAGGTACCATTGAGGAAAGTTCATCAGAACAATTGCCATGAAATTATTTACAGATTTATAGGCGGTGGGAAAGTGACTGAAAAATCTTGAAATGCTTAACGTGAGGAGCAGACCCTATGTGACCGCAATATTCAATGCATGGACGAATAGAAGACCTATAAATATGATAGATAAATTCTGACGAGAAAAAAAATTAGCTCGACACAGGAAACCAACGATTTGATTAGAAAGATTTAATCGCTTTTAAAAGTAGGTCATTAAAATGAATTCTAATTCAAGACTATTTATTAACACTAATCAGCAGACCTAGAAATTGATTCAGTATAAACTCTGAACTTTATTTCAGTTGAAAACCTTAGCCCAGGAACGCGTAATGAATCAGTCTTCTAGGGGTTAACACCAGACATGCCGATGAAAGTTAAAAAGGGATTTCTCAGACCCTTAACAGAGAGCAGTTTCGCTTCAGAGGCGTTAAAAATAACAAGCCATTCCTTGCCTCAGTTAACAACAGATTGTAGGTCATTTTATTAGATCAGTTGCCGATTTGATCTTATCAAACCGATCAGATTATTAAAACAGGAGTAAATAGATGTGCCATCATCATAGATACCGAGTTGAGAAAATAATGGCATCAGGAAGGCCATTTATGAAAATTAGGAACAACTTTGGTCCACGGGTAGAGAACTGGGGGGGGGCGTTTGCATTAAAGCAAGATCTAGATGAATGACCGTTCAAATTACATTCATTTCGCGATTTGATTAGAAAAATTGAATCGGTTCAAAAACTAATACCATAATCTTTCAAACTTATGAGGAAGCCTAGCATGCCAAACTTTGTCAAGCGCCTTCGATATATGTAAAGTGATATCTCGACTACATCTTTCTCATTTAAATCTTAATATACTATTTCAACATTAATATAGTGCCCTAGAAAAGATGTTTATCTAAAATAAAAACGTGCCAGTTGAGATTAGGGCCTCTAGTAGTTTGCTAAAAAGTGGTAGCCGGCTAATAGTTTGCTAGTTAGAAGGACCAGATAATTCGACCGAATTTTAAAGAATGAAACCATAGGTTTCCCACAAGCAGTAAAGTAAGAATCAGCAAAAGTTTTAACATTGATCCTGAATACCAGTAGAGCATTCTAATTCATTAGCACGATACAATTTATATAAATATCTATGATATACCAATATAAATTTAGATAAATATAATGATATATCTATATATAATGTACCAATATAAATATCTATCGATATATTTAGCACAAGAAGTATATACGTTCTCATTTTCATCTTGATGTCTAACTTGATAGCACGAAAACGCTTTTTAAAGTAAGTAGGTCATTAAAGTGAATTCTAATTCAAGACTATTTATTAACATCAATCATGGTCATTACTTTCACAGAAAATTGTTAATTTCATGGGTCATTATGACAGACATTTCTTAATTTCATGGTATGAGGATCCTGTTTATTATTATTATTATTATTATTATTATTTTCTTTGATTTCTGGCGTTTACACATTTCTTTCCGGGTCCCGCCCAGAGACCTAAGGTTAGAAATGGCGTCATGACACTTTCCACTGAAAAAAAAAAAATTAAATTACATAGATAAAGCCCTTCGTAAGGTGTGGGCTGTACTTGTCAGAACAATTTCTTGTATCTCCTTGAGGCATGGACTTCCAGGAATCCCTTCTCTGATATGGGGTATTATGATTATTTACATATTTTACATTATTTGGACCGTTATCCTCATCTTCATTGTCATATTCACAACGATTCGACTGTTGTACGCTCCGGCCTTCTTCAGGTGATTGGAATTACGAACCGAAACTTTTATTTCGTCCACCGGGGTAGATTGTTCTAGTTTCTACGTGTCAAGGACACATGGCCCAGTGGATAAAGACGTTGGAGAGTTAGGTTAAAGCCAAATAACTGAGACATCCGGAAGAGGCATGGTACGTGGAACTAGAAGATTCTACCCTGGTGGACGAAATAAAGGGTTCGTTTCGAAATTCCAATCCCCTGAAGAAGGCCGGAGCGTACAACAGACGAAACGTTGTGAATATGGTAATGAAGATGATGATAACATTTCCACGTGCCAAGGACACATGGCCCAGTGGATAAAGACGTTGGTCAGATCTAGTGACTAAACCCAAAGAGTTGTGAGTTCAATACCAGGCTACAGCAGTGGTGAACCAAAAACTTAGAAAGAGTTAGATTAAAGGCAAATAACTGAGACACCCGGAAGACGCATGACACGTGGAACTAGAACAATTTACCCCGGTGGATGAAATAAAGGGTTCAGTTCGAAATTCCAGTCCCTTGAAGAAGGCCAGAGCGTACAACAGCCGAAACGCTGTGAATATGTTAATGAAGATGAGAATAACAGTCCGAATAATGTAAACTATTTAAATAATCATAATACCCCATCTCAGAGATAGAGACAGATATTGAATGACATCAATGTTGAGGATATTCATAATAATAATAAGGATCCTCATACCATAAAACGTTGTGAATGTAGCAATGAAAATGAGGATAACAGTTCGAATAATTTAAATAATCTGTTGACATTATCACAAGGTTACGGTTGCTCTGTCCGCCAGCCTTCTGGTGTCCATGCCAGTGGATTAAATAAGGCGTCCAGTTCAAAATTCTTTTAAAGTCAGCCGGACTATGAGACACATGAGGAAGCCTTGAGAGGACAACAGCCGATAATAAATACAAAATGAAGACATTAATCTCAATGTAAATAAAATAGACATTGCGTGTATTTGTCCTGTTCAAATACAGCTTATTTTTTTAAATTAGATTTTAGTTTGCATATTGCATTTGCATTTACATATTTCATTTGCATATTGCATTTGCATATTTCATTTGCATATTGCACCAAGAAACATGACCAACTGACAATAATCTTCCGTGGCAATAATTTACAGGTGTATTTTCTGTTTCTCTACACAGATGCTTCGTTCACTGGTAACAGGATTCCTCTGCTATTACGACAGAGCTAAAGAATTCGGTTCTTTTTTAACACGGCACGAAAACGCATTTCCCGTATGTTAGACTGACATTAAAGGATCAAATGGAGCATTGATTCTGACTGATAACATTGTAGAAAGAAGACACTTCACGAGTTCCTCAAGTAGAAACTTGAAAGGTGCGCTCTTCTAAACAATGGCAATCAGGCTGCATGCTTTTCCCGTTTCCGCACGTTTTTACAATTAACATCAAGTTAGGAGAATAAAAACAAAACAAAAAAATACTTGATGCTCTTAAAGACAATCGCCTTTTTCGATTCAAAACGCGTGGAAGACAACTGGAAACCACTTCACTAGCTTTTCTCAAAAAGGCATGGCAATTTACAAAACCGGAACAAGTGGAAAACCATGACCACTTACGGGAGAAGGAACTTAGCATTTAAAAATACTTCAACTTATTTGGGATATTTTTTTTTCAACATAATGTAATATTATCATTTCAGGAATCGTAACCCACTGACTTTAATCCTGGCCTATTTCCTGCACAGCTACTTAGTTCACGATTTCAAGAAAACCATTTACTTGCACCGGAATCAAGATTCTTTTGTTATTGCAGCATAGATAAAGAATGTGGTGAGTTTTTTTTTTCTCCCTTTTGCTTTCTTCGTACGTTAGACTAATATTAAGGCATGAATTAAATTGACTGAATCTAACGGATAACCCTACAAAATGGACGCTGTATATTAATTCCCCAAGTAAAAGCTTGGATGAGGCATTCGTAAAGCAATATGGCGTCAACCTTTTCGGTTTACCACTTTTTTTATTGAAATTAATTCAGTGGTAGGGGAATAAAAAATTGATTTTCTAACATACAATCACGACCAATAATAGATTTGAGCAGATAAAAAGGTTAAGTATATATTTTTTTCCATTTTTGTGATTGGCATTCACAGTGAAAATCCGATAAAGGAATTCGATTTTATGACTGGAAATTCATTCTTTTGAAACTGAATTCAAAGTTTTTATCAGGTTTTATCCATAATATTACGTACAGATTTAGGTTACACCATCCTCCTTCTTTGGGGCTAGGCAGGGGTGTCAAAATCACGCTGGGTAATATGAATAGAAATCTCGACAAT